TATGTTACTGAATTAGTGTGAATTGGCTAGAATTGACTTGAATTGAATGCACAATGTCTTGAATTGGGCTGAATTAGTTGAATTGGACTGAATTAGTTTGAATTGGGCAGAATTAGGGGTGTACACTTGGCAGGGGAGTTATCCACCCCTCGGTTGTACTGCTTCAACACAAGAGTAACGAGTACACCACCGTGTCTCCAAGTACAACAATGTACTCTCTTTTCGGCCTGGACGCCGCCGCCCCGCAGAGGGCCCCGGCGGCGGCGATGCAGTCCGAGCACCCTGTCGCGGGGAGGGCCTGTCAAGGGAAGCAGTTTGGTGACTCCGGCCCTCCAGCCCCAAAACACTACGTCAGACCTCAGTTTCTGCCATCGTGTCAGTGTCATTATGACCCACTGCAAAGTCGGGCTAGTCCTAGATAAGCTGCTCACTTGCCTAACCGCAACTTCAGCCGAAGAAAAGTGAAGTTGTTGTTGGGGAGGTTAAAGATGTACTGGGAAGACAAACTGTGTTTTTTCCGATACGTATGGACACAAGGCCGCAAGTCCTCTGCTAAGTCCTCGTCGACTGCCTCGGACTCACCCTGCAGCACGTCGGGCACTCCTTCCTGTCGCTCCGCTGGAGGCACCGCAGACACACGGTGTGCCCGCACGGCACAATCTTTGCCACGCGCTCCGCCGGGTATTCCTCGAGGCAGCTGTCGCAGTCCATGAGGGGCATGGTGGCTGCCGGTGCTGCTGGCACGTCCTGCCGCGGCCGCGAGTAACGCTGTGTGCGCGATTGGGAGTGCTACTACCGTCGCCCGCTAGTGATAGCGACTGATGCTAGCGATGCGCAGATACGAACCACTTCGCGTGCCGGATCCTCAATGAGTGAAAAGATTAATCTACGACGACGTGTCTTGTCGGTGTCCAAGGCCCCGCGAGCGACCCCAAAGAAAGAGAGAAAGGGAGGGTGGAGGGTAGGGGAGGAGAGGTGGGAGCGAGCTATGTTATGAATGGGAAAGAAGACCGTCTAGTAAAGATGTTTCGGAGTGAGGGTACGGGTACGTGACTTGAGGGTGGCCAGTGACTAAAAAAGTTTATTTGTAATCATGATAACTCAGGTAATGATTGCGGCTGATTTAATATGAAGCTTATAAAAATATATTTGAAAAACATTTAATTACACACCAATGAACATGCAACGCAGATGACAATAGTATTCTCCGCACGAAACAGTTTGCCCAAAGCGCACCGCTAGACATGTTCCTCCTCTACATCGTCACACCTCCCGCAGAGCACCTGCGCCCAGGGCAGCACCCGCCGCACCTCGGCGCGCTGCTTGCTGCAGGCGGCCGGCTCATGGCTGCACCTGTACCTCCTGAGCACGAGCCAGCTGAGCGCCCGCAGCCCGCTCTGCTCCAGCAGCGAGTCCAGGTCGTTACAACTCACTGGCCACCCTTCACTGCCGGCCGTGCCCACCCCCAGCTCCAGCACCGCCAGCGTGCGGCTATGCACCCGCAGCAGGGCCTTTGTCGTGGAGCGGGCTACGTTGTACGTCGCAAGCCACCGCAGACCGACGTGTCCCGGCGGCAGCGCGGGCAGCTCGAAGGGCTGGGCGGGCACGACGTCGTCACCACCCCACACCTTTAGCCTCGTCAGCCGCGGCATGGCGTGCACCGCGCGCAGATGGGGCTCCGAGCCGCCGCTGCCCAGACTCAGCCGCTCCAACGTGGGCGCGACGCGCTGCAGCAGCTGAAGGCTCCAGGCGGGGTCGCGGACGCAGTTCAAGTCGACCAGCCGGGTCACCTGCGGCAGAACGGAGTCAGTCTCGGGGGTTGCGCGCTGAGGCTTACGGCCGACCCGCGACCCGCGCTCTCACTCACCCCCGACGCCTCTGCGAAGAGGGCCGCCTTGTCCTGCTGCCGGGCACTGGGTCCGTAGTGACTGATAACCTCCACACTCAATTCGCGCTGCGAAGGAGCACTACCTCCCCACCATGGTAGGAGACACGGGGACGCAGCGGTCGGTGGTAGCGGAAAGTTAAACGTGGACTCTGCTGGAGGGCTCGCGGCGGTGAGCGGTGACCCCGCATCGCCGCAGGGGTTTGGCGCGGGGCTGTAGGCGGGTGGGTCCTGTGACTCAACGCGCCTCTGTAACATCCGGAAGTATAACTGTAGGGCTGTACTATCCGTATCCACAGGAATATGTGAATGGATACGCGGCATCTCCGAGAGCAAAAAATATACCCTCTTCTCGGCGTGGACTTCGTCGCCCAGTCCCAACAGCGGGGCGCGGCGGCGGCGCGGCAGTCCGAGCACCAGTCGCGGGGTGGGACTGTCGACGGGAACCCCAAAGACACTTTCTCAAGTTCTGCCTTCGGAGCTGTCAGTGTCATGAGTCAGTCAGTACAGTTCTAGATTAGGTGCTCATACCTGCCTGAATGCTCCATCAGCTGGAGAAGAGTGCAGTTGTTGGGTAGTGCATCGGGTTCGTTGAAGAAGTACTGGGAAAACAAATCGTTTTTTAGAGACGTATCATGGACAAAAATGGCTGCACAAGACTAGTCGGACAATTGGTTGGGTTTGGAGATCTTGCAAAAACCTCGTTGACTGCCCCGGACTTACCCTGGAGCACGTCGGGCACTGTCTCCTGACGCTCTGCCGGAGGCACCGCAGACACACGGTGTGCCCGCACGGCACAATCTTGGGCAAGCGCTCCGCCTGGTCGTAGTCCTCGAGGCAGCTGTCGCAGTCCATGAGG